GATGGCCTCCAACCTAAGAGCGATGGCCTCCAACCTAGTAGCGATGGGCTCCAACCTAAGAGCGATGGCCTCCAACCTAAGAGCGATGGCCTCCAACCTAGTAGCCATGGCCTCCAACCTAAGAGCAATGGCCTCCAACCTAGTAGCGATTGCCTCAACCCTAAGAGCGATGGCCTCCAACCTAGTAATGATGGCCTCCAACCTCAGAGCGATGGCCTCCAACCTGAGAGCGATGGCCTCCAACCTAGTAAGTAGCGATGGCCTCCAAGCTAAGGGCGATGGCCTCCAACCTAAGAGCGATGGCCTCCAACCTCAGAGCGATGGCTCTGAGGTGGCCTCCAACCCAAGAGCGATGGCCTCCAACCTCAGAGCGATGGCCTCCAACCTCAGAGCGATGGCCTCCAACCTAAGAGCGATGGCCTCCAACCTAAGAGCGATGGCCTCCAACCTAGTAGCGATGGCCTCCAACCTACTACTGCTTAGAGAAGTGCCGCGCTATTTTGGAATGTGAGGATCTGCACTTTCAGCAACAACCAATGGAAGCTTGAAGAGGAGATCCCAAGAGATGCGCCGCCCACGGAGTCTTCCTTCTACAAGGCCTTGGTATCTCCTACTTGCCATGGGACCGGCATGATGATGCTTTCCTGCATTTGGCCTTCCAGCTTGGGTCTCTCCTACTAAATGTGCTTTGGAGCGCTTGCTGGACATTTGCTTTTGGTAGTACAGTCCCAGCAATCTGGAAGCTAAGGATGGATGTCGACGTAACTCCTTTGAAGAGGCCAGCTTGCAGCATTCTGCGGAGCGGTGTGAAACATAGCGCAATCTTTGCTTCTCACTAATAATCCCCCCACCTCCACGGTTCTGGGTAGCATGAATGGAGGACATGGCTCAAAGCGTTTGTTTGCTTTCATGTTTCTTGTAATATTTGTAATAATCTATAATCAGTTAGTTTCTTTTGGAGTCCGTGTTCATGATATTTGATTGGAAGGGGTGGGCCCTACAGCTTTCCTGAATTGTAGGTGACTTCTTTAGAACATGCATGTGAAGTCATGATCTTTGATCGGAGGAGGTGGGCTTCAAAGTCTTCTTTTATTGTGTAACGGTGATTGCTTTAAAGCTAGATAGGTGTTGTGACCCACAAATGTTTCTTTTTGTAGGCGATTGCTTTTCAAGTAGGTGAGTAAGGTCATGATCTTGGATTTGAGGATGTGGAACGGAGCTGTAGGCTCTCTCCATGCACAACACATCTGAAACCAAGCTTCCTTTGCATGATACTGTTGGAAAGGTTTTTCTTCGGTGCCTCTGGACATTTGGAGGGTTTTATGGATCTGCGGGTGGCTGGATGCTTTGGTTGTTGGCTTTGGTGCTTTTGCCTTAAATTTGGCAGGAAGTCATTGACCTAGAGACATAGAGGCTGCTTGCAGTGATTCTTCCACGCGCTGGCTGTGCACTAAGCCCCAAAGAAGTACGCCACTGTGGAGTGATTTTGTCGACGCATGCTTGAGACGGTGAAGCTCGCAAGTGTTGTGGCAATGATTTTTCAGCCGAGACAAGGTTCACAGAGGTTGAGGGCAACAAGTACTTCGTTAGTATGCACGGATTAGTGCTCAGAGCCTTTTGAATGGGAAGTTTGATGCTTTTGGTGTCGCCACCGTTCGAGCACAATGCCATGTGTTTTCTCCTCCCACCATCAAACACACTGGTCAATACCTTTACGCTAAACCAGTTCTCACCTTGTCTCAGGTCTGTGTGAACCATTTGACCAGAAACCTACGCAAAGCATGTGGGTGAGAACAGGTCGAAAGCTTAAACCACATGGCATCAACACAACCAACTCAAAAATGCTGGTGCTGATGCTGCTGCTGCTGCTGGCGGCGGCGGCGGCGGTGGTGAAGTTGACTTTTGACCACTTGGCACTGTGACAAAAACGAGATTACAAAGGAGTCACCCCGTATTCAACCCAGACAATGTTTTGGCATTGACGACTGTTTGGCAGGTCGTGGTGCTTGTTCGAGATGCTCCACACCTTCAGGCAACGAGATCATGCGAAAGAGCGAGCTTTGCCCTTCCAGGGGTTGTCCCTTGCCTCAAGTGTTGGGTGCTATACAACTACTTCCACGTGGGTCCAAATGTTTGAAGAATGTATGGTTTCGATGGTTTGAAGTGAACATCCTGAGCTGTGACATTCTTCATTCTTCTCCCACCAGAATTGCATAGTGCTCTCAAGCCAAGTAGTGTCCCCGAGCAGCAACATGTCTGAGCAAGCTGACCTTTATTTCTATCACCTTGAGGACGATGGTGAATGCACTCTTTGCAAACTGCCAAGGTTTATGCTCACACCGCAGGGTGTTCTGAATACAGGCCGAGGGAGCTTGGACACTGCACTGCGAATTGGCCAAAAACTCACCACATTGAAACTTGAGGAGGCAACGGCCACAGAGCTTTGGCACTGAACTGTTGGGTGCACCGTACCAGGATGCCCCATCTCTTGCCATTTGAGCGCTGGCTTGGTTTGGGGAGTGTTTCCCAACAAGGAAGGGCTTTCAGTGACCATGTTTATTCACAAAAACCGGAGCTTTCGAGTTTGTTTGGGTGCCTGAGAATTGAGCGGAATCGAATGCTTTCGAAGACTTACCAGAGGCAACGGTGAATCTATATATAGCTTATGTCTCTAGTAGCTTCTTGTTCCTAGTAGCGATGCCAGGAGCTACTAGTAGCGTCCTTGCTCCTAGCAGCGATGCCAGGAGCCCCTAGTAGTGTCCTTGTCCTCTTGTTCTGAGAAATGTTTATTCGGCTTAGCCTTCATGTTCGAAACGAGCTTGTAGTAGCTGTCCTCTTGTCTATCTAAAGTGGGCATATTCCTCGTGAAGATGATTGGGCCAATTCGACAGCCCGGCCTAGATCTAAGGAGACGATAGACAAAGAAAAGATTGATGCAGAGGCACCACGTCGTTGAAGTTCGTCTCATACGTTCTGCAACAGAGTTTCTTTCTGCAACAGAAAACCCACAAGTAGCTGGACAAGCCATAGTGTGCCCCACTCTTGAATTCGAACTCGAACTTGAACTCGAATTTGAACTCGAACTGGAACAGTTAGAACTCAACCCTGGAAGCATAGAAGGCTTCGAACTCGAATCGATCTCGAACTCGAGGTGGAACAGTTAGAACTAGTGAAGGCCTCGAACTTGAATTTGAACTCGATCTCGAATTCGAACTCGAGCTGGAACAGTTAGCAGTTAGAACTAGTGAAGGCCTCGAACT